ATGACACAAAATATATATTAACAAACGATCAAAATGTTTTTATTCAAGAAATGTGCATTATTAGCAACAGTTGCACTTGAAATGTGGATGTCCAATGCATGTTGCAAGTCAATAACAATACAAAAACCCATCAATAAATACATATTGAAATAAATTCTTTAAATAAATAAATAAACAAATAAATAATCTGACATCAAGTATCATAGTGAAAGCAACGAGGCTTTCAAAATGTTTTAGAGTTCTGAACTTCGCTCGTTCAAGACCACCGTCGGATTAATATTACTTTGTGTGGAGTGCACTGAGCTTGAATTCACGTTTTCTGAACTCTGATATTTCACATCAGGCACCTGAAACGACACCATCGGACAGGGTCCGTTGATATTCAAGCACACCAGCTTCTTCAGTGAGGCTGAGTTAACAATGTCAAATCCCACTTTCCCACCAAATGTGCTCGGCATCCAGTATTCAGGAGAACAAATAGCATTTCCCATGAGGCCTTTGAGAGAGTAGGGGGCTCCCATCTCTACCATAGTCTCCCCAAACACAGCGTTGGGTCTGGGTTTCTCCACAAGAAGGCCAGGATACAGCTCAACCGCGTCTATGTGACCGTACAGCTGCTTCATTTCGGCTGCCAGCTCCTTGTCTCCTGTTTTACCATACAGAAAAAGTTACAATTAAATAAGAGGTCACATGATGTATTTGTGAAAATTTTCTGAATCTATGCTAACATAGTAGGGTTTTTTCTTCGATTTTGAATTGCCTAGGTGATATTCACTGTTTATCTTACCTGTCATCTCCTCAAAAGACGAGTAGGGCTTCATGTTGAAGCGTTTCCTGTAGGCATTGAAAGACTGGTACCGCATCTGTCTGGAATGCTCCAGAACGCTAACAGCCACTCCTTGAACTGTAGCAGGCAGGTTACGTCCACCAGCAACCTGTTCACACAAAAATGATAGACATTAGCAAAGTTCACCTACAAATTAACATTCGTCTTCATTTACTCACCCTCATGTTGTTCCAAAACTGTATGACTGTGGAACACAAAAGATATTTTGAAGAACTATGTTTGTCCAAAGAATAAAAGTCAGTAGGGTCTAAAATAACACTGGACCCCAGTAACTTTCATTTTATGGACAAAAAAACACAAAATATCTTCTTGTATGTTCCACAGAAGAAAGAAAGTCATTTGGAACACGACATGAGGCTTCTCTGAGAAGCTTTCTATCTGTAAGTGAAACTCACCCTTCCAGACCTCTGTTTGGTGAAGGATTCCACCATGTTGCGGATGCCGTGTTCGGTTAAAATAGAGTTGTTAAACACAAACTGGTGGTGGCCGTAGACCTGG